TTTTGCAAGTTTCAAATACACTACCTCAAGAACAAATCAAAATAAATGAAGATAGTAATAGGAATGAAAAAGAAATAAGTCAGAAAAATACAAATGAAACAATTCAAGATAAAAAACTTAGTTTATTGGAACCAAAAGAAATGACTAAAGGAGAATATGAGAGCCATGAAAAACATGGAAGTCCTAGACTATATTATGGTATATCTAATAAAAAAACAAATGTTGTTACTTTAGACACTCAAATTAAAGACAATGACTTAGAAGTCCAAGAAAAATTAATAAAACTATTATATGAAGCAGTAAAGACAAAAGAAATGAGTTATGGACCTGAATTGAAAGATGAAAAAGAACAACCAAAAGGACATAAACTAGTTGAAACAGAACAACCAAAAGAGACTATTGATGATGGTATTGAAAGTAAAGAATATCCAAAAGAACTCAGTAAAGCAGGGTGTATTGTAAAGATTAAAACTAAGTACTCAACAATTACTTTTAATGGAAATGAAAGTACCACAGTTAGAGAATTAATTGGTCATATTAAATGGACAATTGAACAAGAAGGAAAAAAGGTATATTGTGGTTTATTAAAACAAAGAACAAATCCCAAAGGAATTAACGAGAGATTAGATGAAACATTAACTTCATTAAAATTATATCGCACGATGTTATGGTACGAATGAAGAAAGAATACTAACATTTATTAAAATCATTCATAAGTTTTTGTTTTAATTTATATGTTATAGTATTGAAACTATAATAATAATTTAAAAGAAAAAGATACTAAAAAATAAAACAGAAAAAATAATAAAAAATAGCAAAATGAATTATTAATGTATTAAAAGACGTGAAGGTGAAAATTCAAGAAGAGGATAATTCAAAAAAAGGAAGATCTTAAAAAATGAATTACTAAAACGAAAAATAAGATGAAAGGGAAGTTAATTATCATTGAGATTATTTTTCTTTCTATTTGTTATGGTAGTGTTGAACATTGTGCTAAAGAATTCAGTGAGGGAAGGTGTATTGAGTGTGACACTGGATTTACGTTAAGTGTTGTATCTCCAACAGAAGGGGTTCCTAAAATAACATGTGTTTCTCAAACAACAGACTTAAATTGTGAAACAACAGCTGATGGATATTGTACAAAGTGTTATGATGGATATTATTTAAAAGACAATAGTTGTACTAGATGTCCTGAACATTGTGAGTTATGCAATGATTTAGTTTGTTATAAATGTAATGAAACATATTTCTTATCAACAGATCAAAAAAGATGT